ATACAGATTAAATGGAGTCCAAATGTGGAGCTGTGGGTTAATATGCTGGACTGCAAAGTCAATTTGAACCACAAGGTCAGCAGTTCAAGCTCACCAGCCGCTTCTCGAGAACCCTATACAAGGGCTGCTTTGGGTTGGAACTGATTTGACGGTACTTAGCAACATACAGATTTAATAAACATGTAGAAAGAAGCAGGTATTTATGTCCTTTTAAATGTCTGCTGTGGATGTGGCCTCTTTGGAATTCCCACCCCCTGCCCCCACCAGACTCCAAGACACTGGCGTGGCTGCTCTGGCTACAGAAGGTGTCCTGGTTGTCTGCAGAGCTGATGCCACTTGCCCCTTCACGTGTCTCATAGACACAGTACAGTGGGCAGCAGCGCCCCCCGGTGCCTGGAGCTGTCTTTACACTCAGCAGAGGATTGGGGTATGGCTCTTGCAAATGGCCCCTAGGCTTTTTAAAATGAAAGGTTTCCTGGCCGGCAGACCTGGCAGTGACATTGGGAATGAAGCTTCCTTGATTCTGTCACCAGGGGGTGGGACAGGGCAAAGCCCCTGCAGTGAGCTCCTTAAAAAGGGGCTGATGGGGCTAAACTGGCAGATCAGGGAAATGATCAGTAGGCAGAGAGCCCCTGAGGCAGCCTGAAGTGGAGGCTGGGAGAGCAGCTGGCCCGGTGACTTTGTACAGGAGGCAGGGCGGCATCTGTCTGCAGGACAGAGACACAGTGGCTTGGGGATGATATTTATTGGCATCTTGTCTATAGAACAGTTATTTACAGATATAAACAGAACCTCAGCAGAATCACCCTCTGAGCACTCGGACCCTCTGAGCAGTCACTTCTCCAAACAGCCGGGCTGAAGAGGCCATGGAGTGGACTGGCCGAGGACCTGGGCACCAGCCAAGGGAAATAGCTGGAGATTATGGCTTCAGCATTCTCCCAGAGCACATTCCTGAGTGCTGACAACAGGGGTTTTAGCCGCCCCCACCTTACCCCAGCCCCAGTGGGAAAGGCGCTGGGGCCTGAGCAAAGGCTGACACGCTCACTTCCTGCCCCTGGAATAACTGGCAGGAGCATCCCCTAGCAGAGGCTTCTGGTCCCGGCAGCACAGCCCTGCAGGCTGCTGTTTGGCAGCTGGAAGTGGCAGGAGCTGTAGGCGCTGCCAGGGAACACTTGCAGAGGCCCAGGCCCAGTATAGGCATCCAGCCCGCTGGGGACCAGCAGCCGGCCCTGCTCACTGCTGGGAGGGTGAGACTGTCAGTGCGGAGCAGGGCTGGGCTTCCCATGAGCACCTGCCTCTTCTTCTCCAAGGGAACAAAGGCCTTGGAGGTGGTGAGGGGGGTGGTCAGAGCCTATGTGTGCTAAGTAGAGGCCTCCCTGCAGTCCTGACCTCTATGGGCTGCTCTCAGTCAAAATCAGACCCAAGGCTTCCCCTTGAGATCCTAATGCTGGGAGAGGCCTCTGTTTGGGACTCATCACTCTGGGAGGTGACCAATGACATGAGGGGTCACAGTGTCGGTCTCACACACTTCCACAGACGACACACCACAGCCCCCACCTCCTGTCTGGTCAGGGGTACGCTGTCTCACACACTCGTCTACTCGGCCACTCACACACACACGGGCACACAATAAATCCCAGTCTCTTATTGCTGTGGGTTTGGGGTTGTCCAGTGGGGCTACTCGACCAGTAGCGAGAAGAGCACCATGACCACGATGCCTGAGCAGAGCAGTAGCACTTGCTGTAGGGAATGCCTGTGGAGGGTGGGCTGGGCTCAGGACGGAGGCCTGGGGGCCTCCAAGAGGTTTTCCTTCCCACTGAACCCCCAGGCCCACCACTCACCATGGGTCCTCTTCTTCCAGGAGGTCTGGCAGCACGTTGACCAGGGCAATGTAGAGGAAGCCCCCGGAGGTAAAGGGCAGAATCCAGGCCACTGTCTCCTCTGTGGGGAGTGGGAGATAAGGGGGAAGGATGCCCGCAGGCTGGGAGCCCAGGAACAGTGACCCCATCCCCTCCTGAGAGGCAGCAGGACAGCCTTGCCCTGTGGGCAGGGTACCTCTGCTGCCCTGACCATGCCCATACCTACGCCCTTGGGGGACTGTGTCCAGATGGCAAAGCAGGCCCCCAGCAGGCCTCCCAGTGCTGTGGAGAGCTGGAGCTTGGCGGCACTCCATCGGTCAAAGCCGGCCCGGAGCAGGATGGCAAAGTCACCCACCTGAGGGGAGGTCCACATGATCACTCAGCACCACCTCATAACCCCCTGCCCACGTCCCTTCGTCTGGTCCTGAGGAGGCTGGGCACAGCTGCCACAGAGGCTGCAGCCCAGGGGAGGGAGCCTAGTGCACCTGCCCCTCTGGGCCGTCCAGCCCCATGCTTCCCTGTCCCCGTCCAGGCCCTCACCTCATGGGGGATCTCATGCAGGAGGATGGCCAGGGTCGTCACGAGTCCGATCTGCAGGAAGGGAGCTGAGTGGGTGAGGATCTATGCTGAGGGCCTGCACACCCCACCTGTCCATTCACTCAACTCTGGGCTGGACATGACGCTGGCTCCTGAGACTGCAGTAGGGAGTCAAGGGACCTGCCCTCATGATGCTTAAGGTCCAGAGGGAAGATAGAGGACTGAGAGCATGCCCAAAGAAAGACGAGTCCTGGGCAGGAAGAACAGAACAGACAAGGGCAGGGGATAGAATAATAGGGGCCCCAGTTTAGACGGGGGTCAGCAAAGGGCCAGGTGTGCAAAGTGGGAGAAAGAGCAGATCAGGCAAAGGGATGGCTTGAGGTAGGCATGAACAGGGCTGGAACACAGGGGTCAGAGGGAGAAGCATCTAGAAGCTGACAGGGGCCAAGCCTAGCAGCATGGCGGGCTTCTCTTGGATTCTGGGAAACCATGAGGGTTTTAATGAGTGGCATGTGACCCACAAGGAAGGAGTGCTCCTGAGATCAGCCCAACAGCTCAGCACAAAAGGTGCCAGAAGATAAGGAGGAGGTGGCATGGCAGAGCCTGGGAGGCAGGAAGCGGGACGGGGGCAAGGACTAGGGGGACTGGAGAGGTGGTCTGGAGGCAGAACCAACTGATTAACATGGGCACCATCATTCCCACTGGCAAGACTTGGGGCCCCATCTCCGCAACTGCCACTTACCTTCTTGCTCACAAGGAAGCTGGCAGCCACTGCCAGCCCGTGAGTGAAGTTGTCTATGGTGTTGGCCAGCAGGTTGAGATAGCCGCTGACCTGGGTGAGGCAGTAGAAAGCTGGACTGAGCTGGGTGCGCAGGGCTGAAAGGGGGGTTAGCCAGGTGGGGTGGGGGAGCTGTATGAGGAATAGGTCACTCACTTTGATGCTCTGGACGGTGTGCAAGCTGGACTCTGCAGCTGGAGGGGCCACACAGCGGCCCCCATTGAGTGCCGTGGCAGTCACAGCAGTGGGGTCTTTGTTGGGGGCCTAGGACCAGAAGGAGGTGGCATTAGATGCCCCCAGGCCAGAGAAACAGAGAACTCGAGTTTTCTCTGGCTAGACTTCTCTGTAACTCCATCCACTGGGGGGCTCCAAAGTTGACAGCCCCCCCCCCCCCCGCCCTGCTGCTGCTACCACGAGTCTTCCAGCACAAATCACACACTGACAGATCTGCCCAAAGAAGTGGCCTGGCATCAGCTCAGAGCCCCAGGCCCTGGGCTTGGGGCTCACCTGGCTGGACCCCTCCTTCTCCTTGCAGTCCAGAAACATCTTCTCCAACATCAGGAAGGTCAGGAAGCCAGCGATGACCCACAGCCCCAGTTGCTGCTGCTGCTGCAGACACTGCCCCTCACCACCTACAACGATGGTGCCACCGTCAGGCCAGGTCACAGGCACAGCCACAGGAGTGGAGGCCACTGGGGATGGGACCTCATCCAGGGCAGTGATCAGGGCACAGGGCAGGACAGGCTGGAGGGATCTCTGGGCTCCAGGATCTCCACAGGGGCCAGGGTGTTGGGACTAGGATCATGCCCTTCCCCTCCTGGTTCTGCCAGATTCCCAGGGCCTCTCCTTTAGTCACTGGCCGAGCAGGCTGACCTGGGTGTCCCTGGGTATGGGCACCAACTCCCTAGTCTGCCCTCCTACCTGTGGATTGCAGCCTCACTCACCAGGGCTGGTGCTGCATGTGTAGGCCCAGGCCTCGGGAAGCAGGTGTAGAAACACATTGCCCAAGAGGCCCCCTAAGGCAAAGCTGAGCAGCTGCTTCAGGCGCCGGGTCCCGGCTGCAAAGCAGAGACTTGGGTTGATGGCTGACCCACAACTGGAGACCAGCGCAGCCTGGGTCCCACTGGGCTCACTGGGCTCTTGTTGTAGTCCCCACATGCTGCAAGCCTCCAGAAGGCTGGACAGGGGCTACTGTTCTCCACCCCACAAGCCAACTGGGGCCGCGTACTCAGAAGGCGCGCAGCATAACCTCCAGATGGCTGGGAGCCAACTCCACACCTCAGTTAAGAGCCTGGCTTTGCAGGCTGCTAGGCTCTTCAACTTTTCAGTTGGGAAACTCGGGCAGAGATTTTTCTGAGACTCAATTTTCTCAGTTACAAATGAGATAAATGCATCAGCAGTTCAAACTTTCCTTGGGAGAAAGATGAGGCTGTCTGCCATGGTCCAGATGTGCAGCTCTAGTCTGGCCTCTGGTGTCCCTTTGATAAGGACCTTGTGGGAATTAAATGACAGTGCACAAAGTGCTCATTAAGAGGAGACTTTTTAGCCACTTTGATAGCAGGAGAGTGGCAGAAATTTGTGGATGTTGTAAACTCTGCAGTATCCAAAGCTTGAGGTACCTTTAGGGGCCATGTCCAGCCCCTTATTTTGCTAGCTGAATTGAGGCTGTGAGGGCAGAGGCAGGTTGGTGGTGGAGTCTCAGGGAAAGCTGCTCTGTGCTTCCCCATATTGGCATGACAGCAGGCTGTGTGACAGCTTGGCTCTCAGCTGTCCCAGCACTCAGTCCAGCAGCTGACCAGAGGAGCTGCTCAGTAGCCACCTTAGTTCCTGGGCCTGGGCTGTAGCATAGGCCCCTGAGCTCTGCGGACTCCTGGGGTTCCAAGCCACACCTACTACGTCACACTCCTCAACTGGAACCTAGTCAGCCGGCTCCCAGACTGCCAACCTCTATGTACACTGCTTCTTGGTAACTGACTGCTTACTGGTTGAAGGGATAAGTACGTGTATGAACACGGCACACCCTGGCCTCACAGGTCCAAGGTAAGAAATTCGATTCTATTCTCAGCCGCTGTCTCAGTCATACTGTAGCCCAGGTCGAGGGGTCTCGCATCTCCCAGATGAGGGTCACCCACCTTCTGAACGCAGCACAGTCCCCATCTCCAAGGGAATGACGAGCAAGGGGAAGACCCCGCTGAGCCCCACCATGAGTGAGCCAAGGAGGGAGCAGATCCAGGTATCTAGCCTTTCCCCACTCAGCAGGGCCCCCCAGGACTCGTTCTCCTTGTTGTCTAGGCGACAGGCTGCTGCGGTCCCCCGGCTCCAGAGGGCCGACTGGGAACTCCCAACCTCTGTCAGGAGCTCCAGGGCAAGAGCAGACAGAAAGAGGAGCCCGTGGCCCGCCATGCCACAGCCAGGATAGGGACATCCAGGTACGCCACGTGCTGAAAAACAAAGGACACTAAGGCCAGCTGCTACCTGGGGTCACAAACCTGCTTAGTGCGGATGTAGCATATCACCCCGCTCTTGCCAAGTGGCCAAGGGCATCCAAGGACCTGAATGGTGGGCGCACAGATGCACACAGTGGGCTGCTGCTCCCCCACACTCAAGGACCACACAATTTTTCCCTTCAGAGCCAACTCCAGACAGTCTGCCTGAGGCTAAACTTTCCCTAATGACAGGGTGACGCACTGGCTCGGCCCAGTAGGGTGTTTCTGGCTGCCAGAGGTGATATTGCTGCCAGGATGTGGCTGGTGAAGACACTCTGGGGACAGAGGACAGCACTGTCCAGGTGGATGGGGAGGCATCCATCTGGAGGTGCAAGTTCGGGAAGGGACCGTCAAAGCTTCCACCATGTCACCAGAGAAAGCCAGGAACAGGAGACAAGGCTACCTTTGGGTTTTGTACTTTTCAGTGACTTCGGGGAGTATGGGGAGACGGCATGGCCTCCCTCAGTGTGTAAAGCTGAAGTGGGCTTTGATAATGAGGGTGAGCGCCTAGCATGGAGGAGGCCCTCCTTATGGGGTTGGGGAGTGGAATGTGCCAGCAGGCAACGGATCACAGGACATGGAAGTGAGTCAACCAAGTGAGAAATCCAGTCTGGAAACTCAGGCAGGAGGTTGGAAGGTAGTTCTGCTCTGCCTCAAGCTGCCTGTGACCTGGAGCTGGCAATGAGCCTGCCTCAGTTTCCTCATCTGCTAAGGGAGGAAGGAGGAAAGGAAAGCAGCTGTCCCCACAATCGACCCAGAAAAGATGCTCAGGTCTGGGAAGTCCAAGCCTTACTGGAGACCCCGATGAAAGCGGTTGGGGACCAACTGCAGATGGCACGGGTCAGGCCGGGCTTGGGGGCCAGGGAGGCTCTCGCAGAGGTGTGGGGACCACAGGCGTGGGAGAAGAGAGAGAAGGGAGGGAAAGGAGAGGCATTGAGAGTGGCCAGAGATGGGGAGCCAAGTGTGGGCGACGAAGGAGAAGCTCCCGAGGGAGGCAAGTTTCACTCTCGGCCCGGGGCGAGGGGCCGGGCCGCGGGGATGGCCCAAGGGTCGGACGGTCACTCACCGTGCAGCGGCGGCGGCGCTCCGGGCAGCCCCG